ACAAAGTCCTGATTTCTAGGAATCAGAGAACGATGTTCTTCCAAACCTACCAGAAAAGAAGAGAGGAGATTACCTATCTGGAATGCCTGTTCTCTTAAATACCCGCACACAGTCTAAGATTCCCTTTCACGAGTCACCAGTTTCTGCCCAAAGCTAGAGGGGAAATCTACGAGTCTGGTCCTTGAGTCCCAGACCCCTGCAGCTGGACTTGAAGCCCAGAACAGCCCCAGAACATCATCAGAAATATTTTCAAGGAGCATCTACACTCACCTGTACAGTTAGTTGAGAATTTTTCTTGAAAATTATCAGCAAATCGCCTTCTGTTCCCACCTGGGACAGAGAAGGCAGAGGCTCTGCACCTGCTTGCCAGCAGAGAATCCGCCAACTGCCAACTGTCGATGGAGTGTTGGGCTCCTGAGCCCTCCGTGCGGAAGCCCCCATGGCAACCGTTTGGTAACATTCCATGTTCCGGTAGCCGGTGTCCTCTTTGCACCCTCATGGAGGCCCAGAATGCCTTGGCTTGGAAGGGACCTCAAAGATCGTCTGGTTCTAACTCCCCTGCCATGGATAGGGACACCATCCACTAGATCAGGGTGCTCAGGGCCACATCTAGCCCTGCCTGGAATAGTGCCTTCCAGGGATGGGGCATCCACAGCTTCTCTGGGCAGCCTGTTCCAGTGTCTCGACACCTTCACAGCTCTTCCGAACATCTAATCTAAATCTTCCCTCTTCTGGTTTAAAACCGTTCCTCCTTCTCCTCTCACTCACTGCCCATGTGAAGTCGCTCTCTGCCTTTCCTATAGGCCCCTTCAGCCACTGGAGGGCCGCAGTGAGGCCTCCCCCGGAGCCCGCTCCTCTCCAGGCTGGACATCCCCGGCTCTCCCAGCCTGGTTCCATAGGAGAGGTGCTCCGGCCCTCTGAGCATCTTTGTGCCCGCTTCTTCCTGCACCTTCGTGCCGCCCCGGCGGGCACATCCTGCCTGTGCCGGGTCAGAGCTGGGCGCAGCCTCGGGGCGAGGCCTCACGAGGGCAGAGCAGAGGGACGCATCCACCTCCCTCCGCCTCCAGCCCGAGTAGCGCTGCAGCCTTTCGCTGGCTAAAGAAACCCCACCAAAACCTCCCCTCCCCCGTAAGAAAATTAAACCCTTTCTTAACCTTCTTCCTCCATGTTTATTACTCTGTTGTTGAAAAGACTTGTGAGACTTGTTTTAAATTTAACCCTGATTAAAGCCAATTAAAATGACATCAAACTTCCCTCTCCCCCCCAACCCAAACTGGTGAAAATCTAACAATTTAGATCCTTATTTCAAGTCTCTAAAGTCTTGAAGTTTTCAGGTGTTCAACTGTTCCTCTGCTGAGCATTTCATGACAGGGTTAGGAGAAGGTTTGCTCTGCTTCTGGAGACAGCACCTTCCCCCCCAAGGCCCTGCTCTGCTATGAAAGGTGACACAGGAAAAAACCTGTGAAATTAAAATTCCCTTTTCCTTCTAGCCAGTCTGCCACTGGACCTGCATTCAAAGGGGTTGGCTGGAGCTCTTGAGAGCGGCAGCAACCCTGTCTCAGCCCTGCTGGATGCAGGATGCTCCTCAGCTTCTGATCCCATGGGCACTCTTGGGTGTGGGGAGGACGGTGGCAATTTATCCAACACTGCGGATAGCATAAGGATATCTTCAGATCATGCTCTATGTGAGGAGGTTCATTTCTTACAAAAATTTCTCTGTTATTCCAACTGTTGCTTTTAGGTAATTGTCAAAGTGTTGAGAGTTTAAGGATGTTTGGGGATGACTCTCCCATTTTTCTCAGTCCTGTGTCTGGGAATTGACAGAAACTCATTTCAGTCATCATATTCACATCCTTCATTCCTCATATTCGTTGCTGGTTTGGGGTACTTAATTATTCATAGATTAAATATATATTTGGAATTGCTCTAGCATCTTAACATTTGTATATCAAGCATTAAATCTCCTTTAGGATTTTTTTTTTTAATCTAAGCCTCTGCCCTTTGGATCCAAGATTTTTGGAAAGCAAGAGCGTTCAGGCTGAGATGAAGTACAACTGGGTTTGCTGGAGTATGAAACATCCCATATATTAAGGCAGGGACCCTGTCCAGGTGCAGCTGAGGTTGGCTGAGTGGAACCAGCCCCACTTGTATTGGGATCAAGTCCCACTTGTATTTCAGGGTGGGACTGGATGGCTTTTAGCAGGATTGTGTTATTAGGAGTAAGGGAGGAGAGAGCACTGAGGAAAAGGAGGGGTAGCTTTTAGTAAGTTGAACATTTGAAGGCTATCAGGCTTGATCTTCCTCATTGCTGCTAAGGATCACAGCAGGGGGCTGAAAAAATGTTTGTTGTAAGACACAACACTTTTTAACTAAAGCCACTATTGAAAATACTCATCACTCGGTGGTGGAAGGGAGGGAAATCTCTTGCCCCTTCTCTGTGCATCCCACAAAAGCTGCAAAGGCCAATACCTGTTCTATCTCCTTCCATGTGGACCAGCTTTAAAGCAAGGGGTAAGACCTCTGAAACACCCCTTACCTTTCCATTTCATGAAGGAAGAAGTTTACATCTATTAACTTCCAAAAATAAAAGGTTAATTATAGCCAACAGTGTAAACTAAGCCCAGATTGAGCTGGCTTCTATATTAATCACCCTGGAAAAGCAGCATTGGGATTTTCACTGATGGCTATGGTTTGCCACCATTTTTTGTCAGGAGAAAGCAACACATAAATGAGAAATGCATGGTTCACTGGCCAGAGGTTTTGAGCTCTGTACTCTCCCAAATCAGGGGTACCCTGGAGATCAGAGCAAGGGTCATAAAGTAATTTAAGAAGGTGAATGTAGTATAAGATGTCATATACAGACATAGACTGCTGCAGGGTGATCACTGATGACAAGAAAATGTACAATGACAAGAAAACCCACTTGCCACCCCAGCTGGGTTGGTACTGCTTCTCACTCTTTGACTCACTAATAACTAAAATGATTTTGAGCTGTGGGTAGACAAACAACTGGACTCCACAAGGCAACAGAGGTCCAGCAACTAGCTCGGTCCTTCAGGCCCATGACCGTGGCTGTGTTTGCCCACAGGCGCCTGCCCATGGGCAAGTTGGTTTTGCTGCCAGGGGGACCCAAGTGAAAGAGGGCTGCATCATCCTCTCAGGCTTCCAGGGACATATGGTGGGTTATTGATGGGAGGGAGCGTGACACCTGACTCCCCACACAGCTCAGCACAGGGATAGGATTGCACTCCCCAAAGCAGCCCTGCATAGCAGTTCTTCTAAATCCACCATAAGGATGCAGGGAAATAGGCAAGGATTACCAAAAGAAGCCCCCAAAAGATGATAATATTGACTTATAATAATTTTCACTAGTCCCACTGAGAATTGCATTGCAATTCATGTGTCAAATTGTGCCTTTGCTTGACTATAGCAATGGTTGTGACCTCAGAACACATTTCCCAGTCTCTTCACGGGGAAGTGCTGGTGGATGGTCTATTAGAGAAATACATATTGAGACAGTTTGGATTAAGTAAAAACATTTTTGAAGCCCTTCATGGGAGGCAGTAGTGAGTGGCTTGTTCTGCAGAAGAAAAACTCAGGTAGGTTTCTTATTGCTGGGACTGATTTGCCCCCTTTTCAATGGCACTAAGTGCTTCTCTTGGCAAAGGATGGAGGTTTTGGAGCATCTTCCATCCTCCAAAAATCTGAATGTGCTCAGGGCCCCTGCAGTTGCCCAGGTTTGGCTGTCAGCTTAGCAGGAAGGCTGAGCACCGGGAGGAGGGGTTTGCTGGGGTCTGAGTGGTATTTCAGTCCATCTTAGTCCCTGCTCCTTGGCACGGGATGATGGCACTGAGTAACTACAGGAGGTGAGGGGAAAAATCATTATTGTTCTATAGCCGTGTTCCTCTTCTTTTGAGAGGTACTGCTTTCAGCTGCTCCATCAGGCAGCCTGGTTTTGCCCTCTTCTGAAAAAACATGGTGTTATAAGGGGGACCTGTGTCTCTCCGGGCTGCCCCCACACAGCCGTGAAAGTATCTGCGCACTGAGCAGAGCTATTGGTGATGGGCACCACCTGGCCTGCTCTGCACAGTCAGTGTCGAGCTCTGTACCTTGTTGCCAAAACTGGCAGAAATACGACTGCTCAGAGAGAGTTTTGAGTCTTTAAGCAGCAAAGGTATTTATTTTGAGCAACATTGGGGTGCTAGCCAGCTAGCGCTGGACAAACTAGCTCCGAAGTTCTCAGTGAAAACCAGGTAATTTATACAGTTTTCATGAGTGATTACAACATCTATACATGCATATTCATTTAATTTCACAATCTAATTATCATATTTATAATAGGCGAAGTCTAGGCAGAACTTGAGATGGAGCTGTCCTTTTTAGGGAGTCCTCTGGTGGTCATTCCAATCCTTCAATCTCAAGAGGGTCCTCTTTGTCATGAACTTTTCAACTTTTCCTGACTACGTACTGGGAGCTTGCGAAAACCCCCCTGATTCAGCTCACTTATCTCCCCGGATGTCCATTCTATGTAATTCATGACTACTAAGTTGTCCTTTCTGTTATCTTTTCATTAGTACAGAACATACGCAGGCAGAGCTCTCGGAACAGGGTACCACTTGTCCCTTAACATTAATGTTGCATTCCTCAGAGCAAGGGTCTGTAACATCCCCTCAGAATAGAATTCCAGCATCTCAGAACTCTTGCTCAGTTTCAACCTAAAAACATACAGTTCAAAACTTCTTTTTAAGCTCAATGCTAAAGGTTGGTGCCCAACACCCTGTTTGCGGTACCCAGCTTCTAAACCTGTAAAAGATGCCATTTGGACTGATGCTTGCCCCTTCAAATGGTTCCTCAAAGCTCATCACTGTTTTCTAGACTTCTTTTAAGAAGCATTTTTGCAGTTCTTTGCAACTTCGCTGGCCTGAAACAGTAGCATGATAGTGAAATTGGGCAGATCACAACCCTGGAAGAGGTAAGAAGGCTTCCTCAAGGGGTTTAATACGCAAAGGCTGAGTTCAGCAGGTTTCCTCAATGACGATGCTGCTCCAAGATACATCACTGGAAAACCTGTGCAGCTGTGTGTGCTTTGGGCAAAGGACCTGACCTGAGCCTTGCCCAGCTGGCCTGCTGTGGTAATCCCCGAGCAGGGGTCACAGATCAACCTCCCCTCATCTGGCTCACTTGACTCACAGGGGACCTGATGACTTTTTCATCCAGCACCTGCTTTTTCCAGTACTGCTGCATGTGCCAGCATATATGCAAAACCAATGTTAAGAGAAATCCACTTTTGCAAAATCTCAGGGGTTTTCACTGCCACAGGTGCTAAAGAAAACCCTCAGCACCTCATGTGTGAGGGCTTTTAGGCTCCAGAAAGCAGAGATAGCACACAGTAATGGCTGTTTCTTCTCTAAGCGTGACATTTACCTGAATAAACAACCACCCATACTCACCTGGCCACATCCCCACAATTAGCATTTGTAAGAGTAGCTGGGATTTTTAGGGACAATATCTTTTTTGCTCTGTACCCACAGAAAGTACTTATCACTCTTCACTCCCCACTTTGATCCAATACTCCAGGAAAACCTTTTCCCTGGAAAACTCGCAGTTTTTCTGTTCAGTGGCCACTTGTGCTATTTGCCAGGTGAGTTTGGAAGAGCAGAGCCAGGCACCTTGGTGGTGGTGAGGAGAGGGTTCAGAGTGAGCATGCCAAAATGCTGTGTGCCCCTGGGTATAGAGCCAGAAATTCAGGCACAGAAATTCCAGGTGCTTTAACAGTAACTGTGCAAGGAGGTAATGCTGGTTTGTAGCTGTATGCCATTTATACCTGAACTAGCCTGTTTTATACCTGACCTTGCCATTCAGGCAAGCAGGGAAGCAATGGGGCAAGAGGGCAGCAGTGCCAATCAGGCAGAGCTGGGCATCATTCAACAGGCACAAAACATTCCCACCAAAAGGCTTTTTATTCCACTAGATGGTGCCCAGACCTTGCTTAGGGATATTGCTTAATCATGTGGACAAGGATGTGGTCGGGACTGATGATGGAGGTCACTGGGAACTACACCTGGGTCCCCATGGGGCTGCAAACCCACCAGTTCCAGCCCTGCCAGTGTTAAGACCCCAAAAGCACCCTCTTCATATGCCAGGCAATCCTGCTGAGCCTGAGTTCCCCGGAATATTGCCATAGCTCATCAGACTTGGGGTGTGATGTGCTGTGGCAATTCCGGGAGTGAGTCACCCAGCCCAGTCTATGAGCAGCCCTGTAGCCCCTTTCACTGTGAGCCAGATGGGCCAGCACAGAGGGTCCCTGAGCCTTTGGAGGTCTTCTGGATGCTGCCCTGAACCTGGGAAGCTTCAGGCAAACCCCTGCCACAGACTGCCTCAGTCTCCATGTCCCTGCAGCGCTGGCACCAGGCTACCTGGGCTGGCTCCACTGGGGGCACCAGGGCCTGGTGCCCTGGTGGAGGCAGAGTGGGCACATGCAATTTTTGATCCTTTCTACTGGAGACCGTGAGCTGTAGCAAAGCAGAGCTCTGAGAGCTGATGCTAACTGACAGCACCAGTGAGATACATGGTGTTATCCTGGTCCTGATGGTTCCAGCATCAATCAACCATGCATGATCCCTGAGACCCAAGTGGCCCAGAGAAGCTGCGGATGCTCCATTCCTGTAAGCGTTCAAGGCCAGATGGAGCCCTGAGCAACCTGATCTAGTGGGTGGCATCCCTGCCTATGGCAGGGGAGTTAGAACCAGATGATCTTTAAGGTCCCTTCTAACCTAAACCATTCTGTTATTCTATGGCCCAAAACAGGATCTGCCACTTCCCTGTGTGCAGTTGTGCAGAGGGCAGGGGAACAGGCACTTTGTGGGTACCTCACTGACATCGTGGCTGCTCCCACCCCCTCCCTGCATGGGCACAGCGCTGGTGGGGAGTCCCCTCAGCACGTGCTGAGGCAGCACCTCTCCCCCTCAAGGCTAAGCACCAGTCCCACTGTGCCACTCACTCCAGCGCGCTGCCGAACATGCCTGTTTTAGCAGCTTCTTGGACAGAAAAAGCAACCTGCAATTGCATAAACAGTGATTAACTTCAGGCACCACTGACAGCATGGCTCCAGCGTGTCGAAGCCCAGCCTGGCTTGTGTGCGGGGGCCAGCGGTGGGAATGGCGGCAGGAATGGCGGCAACACGGCCAGAGTGTTACGCTGCTGCTGGAAGGACAGTGTGGCCAGCAAATGGTCAGTGTTCCAGAGGGCTCAGTGGGGATTTCTCTCTGCAGGAGATGGATGAGCCCAGGGGGGTGATGCTCTTGTGGGGCTCCCCAGCAAGCCCTAACTGCCCAGAGAGGCAAGTGGCCCTGGGCAGGATATGGTGGGGTTTGATACCCCAAGGGAGGGATGTGCAGGGCTTGTTGGCCAGATTGCAGTCCCACAGGGGCTGCTGGGCCAGGGATGTGCTGTGGCCAGAAATCTCCTTATGCCCAGGGACCAGCACCACCTCCAGCATTTTGCTTGTGGCAGAGCAGCTGCCTGAAGTCCCGCTGCAAACACCAGAGTTAGGAGATCCTCAGGTGCAGAAATGCCTTTATTTCTCCAGTAGGCTGGAAGTGAAACCACAAGGACAGAGGCTTTTTCTCACTGTTTCTTTACTTGCTTCACATCAGTGCACAAACAGCGCTACCCTATGCCGTGTAGCATGACTGCTGTTACATAGCTGTCTAGCACAGCAAACCCATGCATCCCTGCTGCAGCACCACATGTAGCCTCCCTCAAATTAACAGCAGATTACATGAACCAGTGATTTTTGGCTCCTGGGCTGTGAAGCACCACTTGCCCCCCGGCAACGTGCCCCTCACCCAGGCAAGAGCAGAGGCCACAGCGGGGATGCCAAGGGGGGGAACACAACATGTGGGACTCCCCAGCTCCACTGCTGGAGCTCGCCGGGGTGAATACCGACAGCCCCTCAGAGAGATCCCTGGATCCAGCGGCCATGGGGGTGCCCTGGGGATCCCCACCCTGAGGGCCGAAGTCCTCTTTGTCCACTGTCACTGTGGGTGTCCTGCTCCCCCTCAGACGACTGGCTGCTGTCAGGACTCCCAAGGCCTGTGTAGGGGCCATGGGGGCCACCCTCTGCCCTGCCGAGGGTGTAAAAAGCCCGCTCGCGGACATGAAGCTCATCGGCACGCTTCACCTGGTCCACCTGTCTGCTGTGGCCCAGCGCTGAGAACATCCCTGGTGCCCCAGTCCTCAGCCTTCTGCTGTGGTGCCCGGGGAGGCGGCCACCCTCAGCTCCTGACACTGCTGCCCCAGTCTCACCACCTCGCCCCCTCTCCCGGCCCTTGCCTGCTGCCATGCTGCCCACGTCTTGCCGTGCCTGTGGAGTAGGGCTGCCCCCTGCTTTGGTGGCATGCGACCTACCCCCGGCATCGCCACCATGGCTGCCAGCCTTTGTCTGGGCCCTGCTCGATGCCTGGCTGCTGGCTTTCCCACTTGGGGATGGTGGTTTGTCTGTCCTGGGTGTCTTGTCCAGCCCTGCTCCCCCTGGCCAGACCCTCACCCCTGCCCCAGGCCATCCCTCCCCACGGGGCTTTGGGGTGGCTGGTCTCACTTCCCCACTCCCTCCTTTCCCCACCACGGTGCTCCTGCCTGCCTCACGGCTGCTGGCTGTCACTGAGGAGGTGGTGCAGTCCCCCTCACTCACCCCAGGGGAGGCCGTGGTAGTGGCCAGGCGGACGCTGGCTCCTTCAGCTGGGACAGTGGCCAGATGGATGCTGGCTCTTTCAGCTGGGACAGTGGCGGTGGCCTCCTCATCACCCCCCTGTTGGGGGGTCGTGGTAGCCAGATGATCTGGCTTCCCCTTGAACGTCTGCCCCTCACCTCTCACCTCATCATCATCTTTCCCACGGATGCTGGCAAGCGTGGGGACAGTGACGTCACCACCAGTGACTCTCCAGGGGACAGGGGTCACTAGTCCTTCCCCATAACCACCAATGGTGGTGGCACCTTCCTCATCCTCTCCTGTGGGACGTGCATCCCTGAGTCTGCTGGTGACGCTGTCCCCATGGCTTGGGGTGGCTGTGGTGGCCAGTCCTTGAGGCTGCCTGCGAGCAGGGGTGCTGTCATCGTCACCACTGTCAGGTGCTGCCGTGACACCCAGCCTGGGAAGGGGCCTGCTGGTTCCCACAGTGGTGATGCTGTCATCCTCGCTGCCCACAGTGGCACCGGCCTGGGTGGTTTCTTGCTCCCCCACGTGGATATTGGCCTTCTCAATGAAGATGTTGACCTCATCATCCTTGCCTGGAGAGACTTGAGTGAAGCTGGTGGTCCTCGCTGTGCTGCCCAGGTTCCCACGGGTGATGGTGACACTGCCCGAGTCGGGGATGTAAGTGTATTCATCCACACCTGTGGCATCAACTTGGACATCCTCTGTCTTCTCAGTGACGGAGGCAAGAGCAACACCCCCCGTTCCTGTGCCTCGCATGACACCCTCCTGCCCTTGGCCAGAGACAGTGGACTCACCGCTGCCCCCATCCCCTGCTCCTCCAGTGACAGGGGCCCTCTCCCTCCCATCTGTCATCGCCCCCTCTGCAGGAACCACTCTGGGGGCACCAACATCCTTGTCCTCACTCCTGATACGGGACCTGTTCCCCACCACAACCTCACTGGGCTGTTTACCCTGAGGGATAATGGGAACATCACCATCAACTTCAACCACCAAATCCAGATTGCCGCTGCCCTCTGAGCTGGACGGGGTGGGACCTGCAACGCCGACACCACTGCGCGCTCGCGTGCCAGTGCCAGGGTGAGGACTGGGAGCATCCCTGCCAGCACCCGGGGTGCTGCGGTTTTCTGGCCTGAGGACAATCACATTCTCTATTGCTTCAGTGCTGCTATTGTCACTGTGCTCTGGGGTTGTCCTGGCCTCTGGCAGCTCCCGCTTGGCATTGTCCTCATCCAGCCGGCGGCTGGGGATGATACTCTGGCGGTCAGGCTCTTCTTTCTGTGCAGTACACACAAGGGAGAGGTCAGGGCCAGCCCTGGTGACAGACGGCTGCTTGGGGCCCTGCAGCCAAGCCAGGGTCCCGCCGTGCCACCTGGCTGCCTCCTCACCTTTATCTGCGTCTGGTTTCTCCGCGTTGAGAACGAGTAGACGTATTTGAAAACGTAGAAGCCATGCTTGGCATTGCAGCCTTTCAGAAGTATCTAGTGGGGAAGAAAACAACCAAACCTCACAGTTTTCTTATGAAATGGATTGGCAGGATCTTCCCTTGCTGTGCATGGCATTGAAGCAGCATCCCAACAGTACCCACTGAGACCCCAGGACAGGCAGGAGCTCTCACCACCTCATGGCCACCAGCATAGGCAGAGATCTGGGCAGGATGCATGTTCTCATATCCTGGGCTCTGGCGGTTTTGTTTTCCCTTGGGCTTATTTTCTGCCTGTGCTTGCTTTCAGGAGCTATGAGTTTGGATTTTTTTGCAAGGTGGCTTGAGGCTTGAATAAACAACCTGGTTGATGGTCCCATCAGACATGAGTTAAGGGACTGATGGCAATCAAGCTACTGGAAGGACAGCAACTGGTTTCCAATAGGGAAAGCCAGGCATTTTCTTCCATACTACTCATTTGAATTATGATACTGATGCATTTTACACCAAAACACTTTGAAAAAACCCTGTAGCAATTGGGCCTGAGACTTTTACACCCTCACCTGTGGGTTCACCAAGCATTTGTGCTCTGGGGCTGGGCAGGGGCAGAGGAGCCCCTTGGGGAGGAAGCCCTTCCCTCACCTGAGCATGTCACACCTTTCCCCACCCCTGCTCTTGGTAAGAGCTGTTCAGATGCAAAGACGCTGCTGGTCTCTTTCTCCATGGCTCACTGGGGCTACCCTCCAAAAGCAACTGTTTCTCCCTGCGCCTCTGGTGCAGGGCACCCCATGGGGTCTGGATGAGGCAGGGGGGTACATACCCGGTGCTGTCCCACACAGTTCCCAGAAGCTCTCCCAGACAGCGGGGGTGGCACCTGTGGGCAGCAAAACACAGGCAAGAGCTGAGGCATCAAACACTGCCCCAGCATCCAGGTGGCTCCCAATCCCCACTGCTGGCCACCCACCCTGCCCAGCATGATAGACATGCCAGAGTGTTCAGGGAAGGGTGGGAGAACTGTATTAATAAGCCGATAAATTCCCAGGCACTACTTGGGGTGCTGGCTTAAAGGCAGCAATAATAGGAAAGGTCTAAACCCCATTTCCAGGGTCTGAAAAGTATTGCAAATTCTGCTACAACATGATTAGTAGTATTAGTAGCATTGCACACTACTTTTCATAGGGTATTGTTGGTCTACAAATACCCTTTCTGTAAGTCTGCTGCAGAGTATTTTATTGCAGAGCAGTTTTAATACACGGCACCACTGCTCACACCACGGTGCTCCAACTCACTGCTGGCGTCTGTGATGGGAGCCTGGAGCTTGTTAGCTGGTGGTGTTTCCCAGTGTTTACTTGCCAACTGTGCAGCAACCTCTGTGCTCTCAAAGCCAGGTTTCCGTACATGCTTGCAGGCTTACAGCTCTCCCTGATTATCCTGTCATCTTTTGGAACATATTGGCCATCCCTGCATCTCTCAGGCTTGGGGCACTTGGTGATGGGAGCATCCTGTGAGTCCCACCAAGCCATTTCAGGTCTTCCCTACATGCCAGAGGGGGAGACAGGCCCATGGAGGGGAGTTCCCTTTGATCTCAGCAAAATTAGTCACTGAAACATCCCAAGTCCAGCTGAAAGGGGTAGAAACATGCCCCAGAGTGTTAAATAATCCCAGGTTATTCCATTGTTTATGAACAGTATCAAAGACTGGATTACAGCCCTGATTAAGTAGCAGGGTATTAACTTCTGTGCGCCTATCTGAAAAGCAAATCTGCACTGATTTATTGCCTTCCTCTGTGCTGCCCTACTACAGACCTGGTTGTGCAAGCTTGCCCTGGGGGCTAAAAGACACATAGCAGGGTCCAGCCCTCAGAGAAGATGTGATTTCCCTCCTCCTTACCTGCCAAAAAAGCAAGCCTTTTCTAGGAGCAGACTTTCGCTCCAGCTGTGTATTTAGTGTGTTGAGCAACAATTGTGCAGGACAAAAATGGCTGCTGTTTTATTTATCTTAGTTTGCCCTTTGTTTTAGTTATATCAGTCAAATTTTCACATTAGGAGACCTGGAAAGCATCTGCAGGTGCCCCTCTGACCCCTGTTACCCACATGGGTAAGATAAGCATCCTTTCTGCACCTCAGTTTTGTGGCTCCACTCAGGCTACTTCCAAGCCAAAAGCACCTGGCAGATCCCAAATCCACACAAATCAAGGCAAAGAGTTATAGCCACCCAGACTGGCTCTTGCACAATGCCCTGATTGCTAAGCTGAAGGGACATGCTCAGCCACATCAATGCTAATACATATTTTTTCCTGCTGGGTTCACCTCTGCGGTAGCACCTCAGTCCCCTCCCCAAGGACCAGAGGTGTTACACGCAAGTACAACCCATGTTTCCTGATGCTGAAAGCATGCCAGGGTGCACTGGATTCAGCAGCATGCTGGCAATCCAGGGAGAGCCATACTTACAGGTGTTGAGAGAGCTGTGCTGAGCAGGCACAGGCACAGGCAGACCAGGGCTGTTTTCATCTTGGGCTGCTCCTGGGGGCACAAAGCGAAGCATCACTGGAGTTTGTCTTCCTAGGACTTGTGGTCCCCAATGATCCTGGTTAGCAGCAACCTAAAAGCTCCTGATATCCCAAAGCCCCCATGGCAGCAAGGTTTTCCAGCAAACCCTGCTTTCCCCAGCTTTGTGGTGGCCTCTGATATCACCCTGCCCCTCTGCATTCCTTGCAGCAAAGGTGATGCTCTCGCCATGTGCAGAGGGCAGGGCCAGCAGCACTGAGTCGGTGCTCTGATATCAGGTACTTCCTAACTCCCTCTGTCAAAGCAGCTTGCGTGGGTATTTGCAATAAATGACCCCCAAAGCCACTGCAGACTAAGCTGTTCAGTCATAAGTCTGAATTCAGGAACTTGCAGGCTCTTTTCAACAACACTGATAAATGGCAGGAGGCAATAGCTCAGTTGGTCAGTAATTCTCATTTCACCCAACTAGCCTGGCTTGGGCTTGCAGGTCCATCCCGGACTCTATATTCAGCCATAAAAGCATTGCTACAGGAAACACCAGAAGGAAATTCATGCACAAGGATCAGCAGTACAAAGCAGTGTAGGCTCAAGAGATATGCGCAGCCGAGCATTGGGATGTTCCCGTCCCCACTGTTTGCCTGGAGTGAAAGCAGGAGAAGCCCTGTTCAAGGAAGGCAGAGGTGAAGGGCTAGGGAGAGACAGGGCAGAAAACTAGGTAAAAAGATTACCTTTCCCTGTTGGAGGCAGATCCCAGTGGCAGACCATGGAGCGTATGCCCACTTTGCTGAAATTTAAAGTTGGCCCCAGGTGCGCAGAGCCAATCAGCTCCTGCCCAGGGACATTTGTCAGCACTGGCAGCACCCGCAGATAACCAGGGGGAGTAATTTCCAGCTAAAAATGTGTTTGTGGTGAAAGACAGCTATCAAATGTTCCACCTGGCTGGATAAACAGAAAGCACAGTTTATAAATATCTGTTCTGAAGGCGAAATTGCTCGATGATTAGCGTAGATCTTAGTGTGGCACACAGCCAGCTTGGTTATTGATAAGAGGGTGTGCAGTGGATCTTGGCATGCTCACTGTGACTGACATGGGAAAGCCAGCAGGGCTGCAGAAAGGGAAGGGCAATATCCTGAGCCAGGCCTGGTCCTGGGCATGACTGTACATTGCAGGGCAGCATTGGCCAAGCTGAGAGCTACCACCATGCCGTAGCTTCTGACGCTTGTTTTTGGGTTTCAACCTCAACACCTCTGAGCTAAACCTGTGCAAGTACAAAATAGCAGAGTGGCAAAAAATGAAAAAAAAGGTATTTGTCCATGCACTTCTTGCACAGGTCCTTTCGAGCCCACCTTTGCTATGGAAAGGTGCTACAAAGATGTGCATGATGTACATACCCTTCTCCTCCCCGCCTCAAGTTTTGGTGGCATTGCCAGTCACCTATACCCTTGCCAAGAAGGGTTCCTCCTGCTGCAGCCAGCCTGGCTCAGCTGCTCAATGTGGTGATGGTGACAGCAGCTCTCATCCCACTCTGCCCCAGCCCAAAACCTGGAAGCTTGCACAACTGCTGGATTAACACCAGAAAAGCTTAAACCATCAGCATCCAGCCTCAGGCAGGAGCAAATCTCAGAGCCAGCATGAAACTTGTCCTTGCCCTGGGAGCTGCAGCCAGATGCTGCCCCACAGGTACCAGAGCAGCCAGCCCGTGTGCCTTGGCTCAGGGCAGAGAGCTTTTGCCAGGTGCCTGGGGGGCTGACGCACACAGGACTGGGCTACGCGCCCTGTGGGAGTGGGACCCGGCCCCTGGCAGCGCCGGGTCCCTTTGTCCATGCTGGTTGCCTGACGTCTTTGGGCACCCCCTGGGGATGTGGATGATGGGGCTCTCGTGTCCCTCCCACCAGCCATGAGGGCATGCAGGGCTCCCCAATGCCGCCATAGGGATTTGGCCCCAGGGGTGCTCACCCTGCAGGCAGCACCTCCTGCCTCCCCAGCATCTGCAGCCTGGCTTTGGCACAGAGAGGTAGTTTTGTACAATGCCCAGCAGTTTGCTGCTGTGAAACTGAACTCATTTTGCAGTCAGACCTACACTGGGAGCTGAATACAGGTTTCCTTTCTAGGAGTGAGTGCCATCATTATTCCCAAATGGTGGCACCTGCCTGGAATCCAGGCAAAGTCATTCTATCCCTATCTGTAGTGCTGATCCCTAACTACACAGGGACATGCTTCTGTTGGGAAGTAACTGTGAGCAGGGATCCTGGGGACTGCAAGCCAGGCATGCCCATCCCTGATGCTGGAGGCAAGTGGATGCATTGCTGTCACTAGGACAGCCCTACCTTGCCCTGGGGATGAGGCTATGTGACAGGGACATTTTGGGCTGCAGTACTGGTGTTCAACACACGCATCCAAAGTGCCCAGCCTTTTACCTGCGTGCCTGGCGCAGGGATGCAGAAGCAAAGCCCTCATTGCAGGGGCATACATCTACAGCTAGTGATGCACAGAAAGAGAAGTTAGTGTCTTTACCTCTATTAACATTGCCTACTGTGTGGTCAGGCCATGGGAGGCATGCTACCAAGGAACGGAGCATGTGGTAAAGTTATCACTGGAAATTCATGTCAACTCTACATAAAACATGGCTGTAAACCCAGAGCAGTGATGCTAAAAGTGCCCTTTCATTTTTCAGAGGGGACTCTACGGAGGCTCTCCAGGTTAGCCTTTCTGTTCCTCCTTCCTTTCATGTGCATCTGAGCTGGAATAACAAGATTCAACCCTGAGCAGAACGAGCACCTCAGCCCACCAAGCACTGTGCTGCCCCACTGATCCCAGCAAATTTGGCAGCAAGCCTTTCATCACCAACAAGCTCAGTTCGGTTGCTTTATTTCATTTCACTTTGCAAGATACAAAAAAAAAAAAAAAAAGCCTGGGACGGAGCCAGTGTGCGTGGCAAGCTGCCTGGCGTCCCCTCTGGCGTGCAGTGGCTGCAGTGAGCCTTCAGATGCACCTTCCTGAGTGGCATGGGCAGGCGGGGGGCAGCACCAGGGATGCCCCCCGACCTGTTCACTGGCTGTAGTAGTAATCCTGGCCATACACGTCGTAGCCGTGCCCTTTGTAGTAGCCGTACTCGTCCTCGTAGGCCCGGTAGCTGTCCCCACGGGCGTACTCATCCTGCTCCTCATACCCGCCCGCGGTGGTGCCCTCGTCCCCCCGGCTGTGGTCCCTGGCTGTCACATCGTAATCCCACAGCTCCCCAACTGTGGTGGCATCTGTGGTGGCGTCTGTGGGTCCCCCATCTCCCACAGTGGTTGCCTGGGTCAGCCCCTCTTCATTGGTGGTGCTGGCGATGGTGGTGGCTTCAGTTTCCTCCTCTTCCTCCTCCTCTTCCTCCTCTTCTTCTTCTTCTTCTTCCTCCTCCTCTTCCTCCTCTTCCTCAGCTGCACCAGTGCCCTCCTCAGCCACTGCAGTGCCATTGCCATGAGGTCCATCAGCCCCCTCAGTGGTGTTGGTGCTTGTGCCATTGATGCCATTCTCATTCTCATCTACTTCTTCCTCTTCCTCTTCCTCCTCCTCATTCTCGTCACTGTCTTCATTTTCAGAGTCTTCCCCCTTGCTGGCAGTTCCATGCCTGACTCCCTTCAGGATCCCTTGGCAGTCCTTGCCCTGGCAGGGGGAAGACAGCACAGCATTATTTGGGTGTCAGGAGGCTGCAGCTCCATGTGACAAGGGGCAGGCATGGGCACAGCTGAGCATCCCCCCCATGCCTTGCATGGCAGGACTGTCTGTTTGGGGTACTCCTTCCAACCCCAAGTTAATACCCAGAGCTTGGTCCAGCCATAGGTGTCTTGCACAGCAGCCCCCCAAGGCAGAAAGGGGGTGGAGGGCACCCATGGGTGCAAGCAAGCATGCAGTGAACATAACCCTCCCCCTGGGTGCTCCCCTCCAGCTCCCCAAACCACACCTGCTGGGGAGGTGCGACGTCTCCTCCCAGCCCACCTTGGCAGTCCACAGGGGCTGCTCCAGCAGGATGGCCAGCTGCCTTGGTGCCAGCATGAAATGGCTCCTGCAAGGACAGGGAGAGGACAGGGCAGGGGGTCAGCAGCAGGAGTGGAGCGCAGCCCTCCCAGCAGCGAGGGGGGCACGCAGCATCCCCACGCAGCATTTGGGCATTGCTCCGAGTTTCCTGCTTTCCCACGGGTCTTGTTCCAGACTGAAATGGAGAAGCTGCAGCAGGGCAGCCGGAGCTGTGCAATTAAGTGGTGGTGGCTGGAGTCGGGTGTTCCTATTCTGGCTACACATTTTGCTTTACAAAGCATCTAAAGGTTTTCTTTTGAAGTCATCTCTCCCAGTTTCCAGTAAACAAAGAAAGCCACAGGCACACTACACATGGACACACTGCACGTCATATGAGATGGTTAGTGAAAGCGTGATGGCTCAAAGCCAGGCACGAGCCTGAACCCCACCAGCAATCAGCCATCTAGCACTGCTTGGCCCCCGAGACCAGAGCGGGGCTCCCAGCAGTGTGCATGGCAGCGTGCATGGCAGCGTGCTCTGCTAAAAAAGGCAGTGGATATCCCAAATGCAAGCAGAGCCTGGAGCAACCACTCGTGGGGCAGCTCGCCCAGTGCCCAGCCTGGGAGGAGGAGCACGTTGCCACCAGCAAATGAACCCAGCCATGGCAGGGAGTCATGAGATCAGTGTCATCCCTCCCCTGGGCAATCCCTGCTGCTCATATGCCAAGACCAAGGACACTTACCCTGGCATTTTGGGCAAACTCAGACCTTAAAATACGGGTGCTCGTGATGCCAGAGAAAATCTAGGCTGTTTTCCTCTCCAGTGGGAGAGCCATCAAATCGCATGGTGCATCCAGCTGTGCCAACGGGAGAGATGCTCCCCATCTAGTAGCTGATATAATTGGTCTTTACATACCTATAACTGACCTCGGGGCCTTTCAGCACAATTTCTCTTGCTGACCAGCCCATGTAAGTATTCCTGCATGGGAACAGTCACTGCTCTGG